TTTGGTTATTCTAATTCCTTCACCTTTTCCATGTACATTTTAGGATCTATTTCTAGCCTCCTTTTATTTCTCTTTAAACATTTTTTTTTAACGTTTATTTGAGAGAGAGACAGACAGAGACAGAACTCAAGCAGGGGAAGGGCAGAGAGAGAGGGAGACACAGAATCCAAAGCAGGCTCCGGGCTCTGAGCTGTCAGCACAGAGCCCAACACAGGGCTTGAACCCATGTACTGTGAGATCATGACCTGAGCTGAAGTCGGCCGCTTAATCGACTGAGCCACCCAGGTGCCCCCTATCTTGGATTGTTTATTGCTAATTTGTAGAAATACAATTGATTTTGTCTATTTATTTTATATCCTAAAACCTTTGTGGTAGGGTTTTATTTTTATTTTTTAATGTTTGAGAGAGAGAGAACATGAGTGGGAGGGAGGGGCAGAGGAAGAGAGAGAGAATCCCAAATAGGTTCCACGCTCAGCACAGAACCCGACATGGGGCTCAATCTCACAACCCCGGGATCATGATCCAAGCTGAAACCAAGAGTTGGGTACTCAACCCCGGGCACCCTGGTAGTTTTTTTAAACATTCCTCAGGATTTTCTACATATAGGAGCCTATCATTTGCAAATAAAGATAGTTGTACTTACTCTTTTCCCTTCTGGATGCCTTTAGTGTTCTCACCTTCTTGCACTAATCACACATCCAATAACATAATGTGGAATAGGAGTGGTGAGACTACACATTCTCGCCTTGTTTCTGATCTTAGAAAGACAGCGTTTGGTCTTCCACCATCAAGTATGGTGTTTGCTGTAGGATTTTCACAGGGTCTGTGTTTGCCAGGGCTGTCATAACAAAGTACCAGATTGCGTGGCTTAAATAACAGAAATGTATTTTACTCACAGTTGTGGAGGCTAGAAAGCCAAGATCAAGGTGTAACAGGACTGGCTTCTTCTGCAAGATGTCTCCTAGGTTTATAGACGGCCACCTTCTATGTCTTCACATGATCTCCTCTCAGCGTTTATGTGTATCCTAACTCCTCTTCCTATAAGAGCATCAGTCATATTAGGTCAGGGCCCACCCCCATGACCTCCTTTAACCTTAACTACCTCTTTAAAGATTCTGTCTCCGGGGCACCTGGGTGGCTCAGTCGGTTGAGCATCAGACTCTTGATTTCCACTCAGGTCATGATCTCACGGTTCGTGAGATCGAGCCCCGCAACAGGCTCTGTGCTGACAGTGTGGAACCTGCTTGGGATCCTCTCTCTCTGTCCCTCCCCTGCTTGTGCTTTCTCTCTCTCTGTCAAAATAAATAAACATTAAAAAAAAAAGTCTCTGTCTTCAAATGTATTCCAATTCTGAGGTACCAGGATTCGTACTTCAACATATACATTTGGGGAGGAGGACACATTCCAGCCCATAACAGGGCCCTTTATCGGGATGAGGATTTTTTTTTCTATTTCCAGCTTGTTGAGAAATTTCACAAGGAATTGGTTTGGGATTTTATCAGATACTTTTTCTGTGTCTTTGGGGTGATTGTGTGGGTTTTGCCCTTTGTTCTATTACATTACCTGACTTTCTTTTTTTAAATGGTTATTTATTTTTGAGAGAGAGACAGAGCGTGAGCAGGGAAAGGGCAGAGAGAGAGACAAATACAGAATCCGAAACAGGCTCCAGGGTCTGAGCTGTCAGCACAGAGCCTGACACGGGGCTCGAACTCATGAATGGTGAGATCATGCCCTGAGCCGAAGTCAGACTCTTAACTGACTGAGCCACCCAGGCACCCCATATTAACTGACGTTTGTTAATGCTCAACCAACCTTGCATTCCTGGAGTAAATCCTACCTGGTCATGGTGTTGAATCCTTTTTCTATGTTACTAGGTAAGTAATATTTTGTAGAGGACTTTTGGGTCAGTATTCATGCCATATTCATGATACTGATCAATAGTTTTATTTTCTTTTTTTTTTTTTTTATTTTTTTATTTTTGGGACAGAGAGAGACAGAGCATGAACGGGGGAGGGGCAGAGAGAGAGGGAGACACAGGATCGGAAACAGGCTCCAGGCTCCGAGCCATCAGCCCAGAGCCTGATGCGGGGCTCGAACTCACGGACCGCGAGATCGTGACCTGGCTGAAGTCGGACGCTTAACCGACTGCGCCACCCAGGCGCCCCAATAGTTTTATTTTCTTGTGATATCTTTGTCTTGCTCTGATATCAGTGTGGTGCCAACCTTACAGAATGAGTTGGGAAATGCTCCTCCATTTGTGCTTTCTGAAACGTTTATGTGTGATTGGTATTACTCCTTCCTTAAATATTTGATGGGATTCAGCAGTGAAGTTGTTTGCACCTAAACTTCTCTTTGTGAGAAGATTTTTGCTTACTATTCGATGCCTTCCATTGTGATTGGCCTATTCACATTTCTTATTCTTCGTGAGTCAACTTTAGTAATTTGTCTTTCTAGGAATTTTTCCATTGTACTTACATTGTCTATTTTATTGACATAAAGTTGTTCTTAATCTTCCCTTACAAGTTTTTTTATTTCTGCTGTATCAGTTGTTATGATGTCTCCCTCCTGAATTGGGTTATTTTGTCTTTTCTTTCGTTTCTTTTTTTCTTTCTTTTGGTTACTAAAAGAAAATTTAAATTGTACAGTCACGTTGATAGCGACTTGTATTAATAATCAATTTCCTTTTGATTTACTTTATTTTTTTAGAGGGAGGGGGAGGGGCAGAGGGAGAGGAAGAGTGAGGTAGAGAATCTTAAGCAGGCTCTACACCCACCACAGAGACTGACACAGGGCTTGATCTCACCCCATGAAATCATGACCTGAGCCGAAATCTAGAGTGGGACGCTTAACCGACTGAGGCACCCAGATGCCCCAACAGCAACTTTATTCATAATAAACAGAAGCTTAAAACACCCCAAGTGCCCATCAATAAGAGAATGAAAATCCAATGAAATACTACCAGCCAAACAAACAACAAAGCAACCTACTGATACAGACCACAACACGGGTGAATCTCATAGACCTGGAGAGCAGAGGAACCTAGGCCTTGAAGGGTGCGTATCCTAGGACTTGGTTTATATGGAATTCAGAACAATAAAACTAATCTTGGTGGTAGAAATCAGACTAGAAGATGCTTACTGGGACAATCTGCCAGGCAAGAAAGGAGGTGCCCACCTCAAATATTCAGCAGGCTCCTGTAAAAAGCCTGGACCCAGAACTAAATGTCACGTAAACCAAGGCACAAGGCCTGCTTAACACCATTGGACACTGACACCCAGGAGTGGAAGTGACAATCCCAGGGTCACACAGGGTATCTCAGAACCCAGGCAGTCAGAAGTCTGGTGTTTTATCACCTTAGCTCCTCCTCTTCTAGCTCCTGAAGCTAGGCTCGCCCTGGCCTCCATTTGTAGGGGGCCAGGGCCCCTCAAAAGTCACTCCCCTCCAGGCCTCAAAATATATTTTCTGACCTGTCCCAAGTGCCGGGCATCGTGCTACACAGGAGAACCGCCACATTTATCTCTTAAGCCCAGGAGCAAGAATTGGGTTTTGTTACCCAGCATAGAGCAGGGCTGTGGGAATTTTGGGGAACTCAAAAGGCCACGGTGTAAATTAAACCAGATTTGCACCGGTGTCCAGGAATGTGAAGACAGAAACCCCGGATTAGCTGGGACCCTCCACGTGTTTGCCAGGTGACCTGGGGCAAGTCCCTCAGACACACGGAGCCCGGCTTCCTCATCTACAAGATGGGTGACTGCTGCGCGGTGCTGTTGCGACAATTAAGGGAACTCACGTGTATGAACGTGCTTTGTAAGCTCTACAGAAAGAGGTCACTACACTATTGTTAAACATTGCTAGGATCCAGACACGATGACTCTGAGGTTGTCTGGCCATCCGTTTAGGGAGGAGACAGTCAAGGCCCGGGTAGTCTGTTTGGGGCGGGGGGGGGATACACAACCCCAGGCCAGCTTACGGGCCCTTGTGCCTGGCCCTGCCCCCACCCCCCATGAAGACAATACACGTTCCATCAGTGCTTCTCCCCAGAAACCCAAGCCCACTTGGGTCTCAGCAGAGTTCGCCAAAAGTGGACACCTGGCTCTCAGAGGGTGCTGGCCTAGAGGTCAGATGTCACACAGACTCCAGAAGGAGGAAGTAGTTGGCTTCCAAGGCTATCCTCTGCGGTGGCGGAATAAACTTTGCTCTCCCCTGAGAGGGATATGGGCATTTGGGTAGGGCCTGCAGGATAGCCTCGTCTTTTCTAAGAAATGTGGGCCACGGTGCGGATCTGTTTCAATTTATTCTGGTGGGACTGTGTAGGCCTCGGCTAGGCCCCGAAGCATCACGGTGATTTGCTGCCCTCCTGCTACACTGCCTGTTTGTCTAGAGCCTGACTTGTTCCCAGCAGGACTCCAGTTAGCCAAGGGCATCACGTGGTCTCCTCTGCTTGCTGGCCCTCTCCTGGCCTGCAGTCCTGTGGGGGATGGGGGGGCCATAGTGCTGGGGCCCAGCCCCCGACACTGCCCAGACACACACCGCCCCGAGTCCTAAGGCACTTTTTTCAGCCTACAGGTGCAAACCTAGCCCCTATTCCCCTACAAACCCAACACCTCAGTGCCCCCGCCCACCAGTGGCACCTGCCTAGTGTGCGGTTACCATCCGCCTATGTTTAATTCATGGCTGGGGGTTGGGACGAGCTTCCAGAGAAAGGGAAGAATTCCCCTGGGGTCTTGCCCAGTTCCCGCCTGCCTGCCCTGGGCCTGGGAGTAGAAGCTACCGATGTGCCCAAAGGACACTGTCCCGGCCAGGGCACAGCCATCATTTGCTAATCCACAGCCCTGGAATGTCTGTGGGCCAATCGGCGGGGGTTCCCAAGGCTCCCCAAGGGCTCCAATAATCCTGCAATGATTAGCAGGGGCCACAGGGTCAGTGCACACTGCTGGGTTGGTTGTTATGGGCAGGGCTGCTGGCCAGGCCAGTGGCTGGAGGGGGGTGGAGCCCTGGGATTGGAGCTGGCTTTCTCTCATGCCAGGGCCGAGGGGAGGCTTTTGGGATACACCGATTACTCACCAGCCTCCCCCTTTTGTCTGCCAGTACAGCCTGACCCCTTGAGATTGTGAACACTCTATCTAGCCTGGGAAGCGGGCTGGACGGCTGAGACAGGCCACATCCAGAGTGGCCCATGCTGTGGCCAGAGCCCTCCACCAGGCTGGGGGGCCGCTGGCCTGGCCTCCTGCCCATACTTCTGGCTCTCCTTGGCATGGCCCGGACAGAGGTGGAGGTGCTGCTGCCGCAGGAGGAACAGGCTCCAGCGCCCGGAGGTAAGGGGCCCCCCGGTGAGGAAAGAGGTGGAGCCGCTGTGAGCTCTGCAGAGGGGTGCTCCGGGGCTGCTGGAAGCCAGTTCCCAGGCCTGAGCCCTGGGCAGGCTAGCTGTGGTTTAAAGAGTCCCCTTGGGTAGTCCAAGGGCCCAAGATGGTTGGGGGGGTGGGGGCTGGGGAGCAGGAAGAATGAAGGGGAGTGGGCCCAGGCTGGGGGGTCCAGGAGGAAGACCAGCCAAGGGGCCCCAGGGCTGACTCCTCCACACACCCAGCCCCTGGCCCTCACCCCCTCCTGTTACCCTCACCCCCCGGCCCTCAGCCCAAGGGTGCCTGGGCACCTGCCTCTCTCACAGCCCCACACCTGTCTCCCATCCCTCTGCGCGAGCCCTCCCGTATGCCCACCATCCTCCCCAGCCCCTCCTGCTCTTGTTTCCTAAGGGCAGGGCTGCACTCTAATCTTGCCACGGTGACCCCCACCCCATCACCCAGGGGGCCTGACCTTGTCTCCCACCCCAGCTCTGAGCAGTAAGGAGACGTTCCTGCTCCTGTCCCTCCACAACCGCCTGCGCAGCCGGGTGCACCCTCCTGCAGCCAACATGCAGAGAATGGTGAGGACCCCCAAGAGGGTGGCTGGAGGGGCAAACGTGAAGAGGGCTTAGGAGGCCAGACTGGTGCCAGGCGCCCATCCACCTGAGCAGCGCAGGGGGGTAGCCAGTCACCTGGCCCACTGAGGGGACCATGCCTGGTTGCGGGGACTCCGCAGCTGCCTGCTTCCCACAAGGGCAGTTCTTTGGCCTTTCCTCACATCCCATCCCGTTGCCCGGGAGACCAGAAGACAAGGAAGGAGTGCTCCACAAAGAAGTCCCAGCAGGATCAGAGGGGCAGAGGACTGGGAGGGAGCAGCACCCCGCTTGAGGGAGGGGGCTTGAATGTGACCAGGGCCCAGTGCTTCTTCATGGTTTGTCTGGGTGACTAAGTGGGGCCCCTCTGAGCTCCCTCCTCATTCACTGGGGGCTGGGTAGCATGGGAGGATTTCCCACCACACCAACTGGGACCACCAGGCGGGCGGGTGGGGACCATCCGGGGCCCAGGAAAGCAAGCCCGGCCCATGTTAACAGGCCCGGGAGTGAGAGCAGGATCGTGTGGGGGTGGGCAGGGTTCCCCATGGCTGCCTCCCATAAACTCCTCCAGCTGGCTCAGTGGTGGTGACCTTGAGAGCTCCTGGGTCAGTTTCCCAGGAGGTGGGGGTGGGGCAAGCCGGCGGGAAGGGGTCGTTTCTCCCCGCTTCCCTGCTCCGCAGCAGCTCTGCCCCTCCTCAGGCGCAGGTCCTGGCCCCCACTGCCCACTGTCCTTGCTCCCAGCTCAAGCGCCTGGCGTGGGGGCGTCCCGATCACCTGGTCAGCAGTTTCTATAGTTTTCATGCCCCTTTGACCAAAGTCTTAGAAAAAGAGCATTTCATAAAAAATGAGAATGGAGCCCCACCACTCAGCCTCCCTCACCTCTGCAGCCCTCTAGGGCTTTCCCCCAGTGGAGGCTGAGGCTCTGGGGAAGTTGCAATCCCCATGACAACCTTACCCCGCAGGTACCTTACTGTCCTCATGTTGAGTCTCGTGGAGATTAGGGGACTGCTAATGGGGTGGCTGGGTTGGGCCAGGGCATGGTGATGGGGTGACCCATGTCTTCTTCACGGCTGAACCCCTCGTTTAAAATTTTTTAAGTTTATTTTGAGAACGAGAGAGCCAGAGTGTGAGCAGGGGAGGGGCAGAGAGAGAGAGAGAAAGAGAATCCCAAGCAGGTTCTGTACTGTCAGCACAGAGCAAAGCGGGGCTTGAACTCGTGAACCATGAGTTCATGACCTGAGCCAAAATCAAGAGTCAGATGCTTAACCGACTGAGCCACCCAGGTGCCCCAATGAGCCCCTTGTTTAAGAGGACAGAGGACTTCTGGACGGCAGTGGGGGTATGAGGGGAAGTCTGTTGGTTTGTGGGTGGGGAGAAAAGATTGGGGCCACTCCAGAGGACAGTGCTGGCTGGGGCCAGAGCCCTGAGGCTGGGAGCCTCTCTTGTCCTGCTTCCCTGTTGGCACCCCAACGCACTCCAAGGCCAGGGTTAGAGAACGGGACAAAGCAGCACGGCTGCTGAGGCCTTTTGCATCAAAGAAAAGTCAAGTGGGAGCAACTGAACCTTTCTGCCAATGGCCAAGACCAGTTGTACCTAATGGCAAACACAAAACCAGTTTGCAAGGCTTGGGCACTGCCCAGGGCTCGCATTACCAGACAGGAAAAAATACCAGAGAAGCCCATCCCATCACCCGGCTAACACTACTCCCTCAGGAACACCCATCACCCCCCTTCCTGGGGTGGTGCCCAAGGCAGGGCCTGAGGGCACCCACACAGGAGTCAGAAGGATGGGAGCTCTCAGGCCTGGGTAGAGCCAGGCTCTGGGTCAGGTGTCCAAACATTGCCAGTACTTTTACAAACATATCTTGGAGAGTTCCTTGCTCTCCAAGGTCCAGACTGACCTCCCCTGGCTCCGGGGGGGGGGGGGGGGGAAGTGGGTGAAAGAAGCTTGGAGGGATCAGGTGACCAAGCAGGAATCCCAGTCCAGTGCTCTCTGCATGAGCCTACACCCTGTGGGGAGGTTGAATCACTAAGGCCTGGCCCAAAGGTCCCTGCTGATGTCTCTGTTTGTGCCGCCCCCAGGACTGGAGTGAGAGCCTGGCCCGATGGGCTCAGGCCAAGGCGGCTCTCTGTGGTGCCCCAGCCCCGAAGTCTGCATCGGCACCTCGAGCCACGCAGCAAGTGGGCTGGAACGTGCAGCTGCTGCCCGTGGGTTCAGCATCTTTCGTCCACGTGGTGGGCCTGTGGTTCGCAGAGGGGCAGCAGTACAGCTACACAGCAGCCGAGTGTGCCCCCAATGCCACCTGCACCCACTACACTCAGGTGAGGCTGTGCCCCTGGCTCCAAGGCCCCTGGGTCACTGGGGGCAGCTCAGAAGGGCTACCGTTCGTCCTGAAATTGGTGGTCACTTTCCCCCCGAGTTGTATAGTTTTACTTTTTTCAGCTTTAAATACGAAATATTTCAAACATCAAATAATGGACTCCCTTTTACCCATTACCCAGATTTAGAAAATGTTTAACTATAGTTGTTTCTCATCTCTGAAGAAAAAACAAACAACAGGACTGAAGCCCTACTCCTGCTCTTTCCTCTGTCCTTCCCCAGAGGTGGGTGACCTTCCTGAGATCCAGGTGGATCAGTTCCAAGCACATTTCCTTTGTTTTATTTTATGTACCTGGCATTGTTTAGGCGCTAGGGTGCAGCACTGAAAAACACAGGCATAGCCAAAGCATTTTTAATACTTTTACTGCATGTCTAAGTGTTTTCATACCTTTACAGCTTTTGCAAGTGGGTTGTGTGTTATTAAGTCCCGTATGAGTGCTCTGTGTGTGTGTCTCGTTTACCACCCCAGACCATGTTTCTAAGATTTACTTCCATTGACCCAGATACACATGGGTGATTCACTATGAATAAACTGCAATTTATAGGCATCTAGGTTATTTCTACTTTTTTACTATTAAAAGTCATTCTGGGGGCACCTGGGTGGCTCAGTTGGTTGAGCGCCTGACTCTTGATTCTGGCTCAAGTCATGATCTCAGTTCGTGAGTTCAAGCCCTATGTCAAGTGCACTGTCAGCATGGAGCCTGCTTGGGATTCTCTCTCTCTGCCCATCCCCTGCTTGTGTTCTCTCTCTCTCTCAAAACAAATAAACACGAACTTTAAAAAAATTAAAAAAAATAAAAGTACTTCCACAATGCACAAATCCTACTTCAGCTCCTTTCGTGCATATGTGTCCAGAGTTTCTCTAGGATGCATTTAGAAGGTGAATGGCCAGGTCATAGCATAGCATGCAACTACGACCTTATGAGTTATTGCCAAAGTGGCCATGCCAACTGTACTCCCATCTACAAGTCAGTTCTCACTTCCCCAGTATTGCCAGTCTCCTTGATTTTGACCAACTCAAGGCTGTGAAATGCTTCCTCACCTGATTTTTAATTTGAAATTGAGCATATTACCTGCTTTGTTAATTACCTGTTCAAATGTCTTGCCCATTTTTATAACACGGTGCATCTTTTTCTTACTAATTTTCAAGCATCCTTTCTACATTCTTTATGCTTTCTGTTGGTCATATGGATATACATTTTTTCCTAGCATAGGGCTTATATTTTCCTTTGTGTATCTTATATTTTATATGAAAGACCTTTTAGATTTTAGTATTAGTCCATTTTCTCAGTTTAATGTATAGTTCATCTGTTTGTAGTATCATGTTTAAGAAATCCTTTTCCACTCTGACATCAGAAATATCTTTTCTTCCAAAGCTTTCCTTTTTCATATTGATGTCATTATGCCTCCTGGAATTTTTCATGCAGGTGTGGTATAGGATCTCATTTTATTGTCTTTCCAAATAAGCATCCTCTACTGAGTATTGAATCCTTCCCCGCTGATTCATAATGCCACCTCAGTCATATACCAAGCGCACATCTGCCCGTAAGTCTTTTGCTGAGTTATTGGTCCTATTCTGTTGTTTTGTTGTTGTTGTTTATCCCCACACAAATCATATTTTAATTATGGCTTTATAGAAAAGTTTTGAAAGGAAAATTCTCCATCTACACACTATATGCTATAACAGTTATGCAAATGCTAAAATACTGATGTATTAGTCAACAGTAGCTGCCCCAAGTTCCCAGAATGCACCTGGCCTAACCTCTTCCCTGAGACCCCTAGAATCTGTCCCATGATCTAGAGGCAAAGAATGAATGCCTGGCACAGTATTGGGTCCCAGGATCCTCCTTCAGCCCAGTGTCTGTTCTGATTGGCAAGTACCCATGCCTACGGGTTGTTAAATATTTTGAATATTTGCCAACTTGGCATGTCATGTAATGTGAGATAATGTAATGCAGTGTGTGTGTGTTGTTGTTACTGTTGTTGTTTTTTTAATATGTATGTATGTATTTTTGAGAGAGAAAGAGTGAGCAAAGGAAGGGCAGAAAGAGAGGGAGACAGAGAATCCCAAGCAGGCTCCACACTGTGAGCACAGAGCCTAATGGGGGCTCAAATCCATGAACCATGAGATCATGACCTGAGCCAAAATCAGCAGTTAGATGCTTAACTGACTGAGCCCCCCAGGCGCCCCTGTTGTTTTTAATTCATTGCTAGATCTGCTTTGCTAATTATTATTTGATATTGAAATTGACCTCTGATTTCCTTTTCTCATACTGCCCTTACTTGGGTTAGAGCAATGCTAACCTCATAAATGAATTGCAAATTTTGCCTCATTTTCTCTTTCCTGGAATAGTTCCTATAATATTTGCTGTAACTCTCCTGTAAAACTATTTGGGCCTTGTTCTGTTTTGGGGCTGTTTTGTGTGTATATGCATTGTATGTGTGGATTTTTAACTGCTGATTCAACTTTTAGAAACGGTCAGAGACCATTTCAGACTTTCTCCTTCTTCTTGAGATAGTTTTGCCAAGTTCTGTTTTCTAGAAAATTGTCCATTTTATGTTTTCCAATTTATTGGTCAGAATTGTTCAGTATTTAACAGAGATTTAAAACTAGAATTAAACAGGGATTTTAAAAAGATTTGCTGTGTCTGTAGCTAGGTCCTTTCAAACTTTTCAGCTTTATCTATGCCTTCTCTCTCATTCTTTACCAGTCTTGCCAGAGCTGTGTTTACTTGAACAAATCAGCTTTTTTTTTAATTTTTAGCCTCTTTTTTCTTTTTTTCTTAAATTTCTGCTCTTATTTTTATTATTAATTTTTAAGAGTTAAAAAAATTTTTTTAGTAATGTCTACACCCAACATGGGGCTCAAACTCACAACCCCAAGATCAAGAGTCCTTTGCTCTTCTGAGCCAGCCAGGCACCCCTATTATTTACTTTCTCCTACTTTATTCAGTTGATTATTCTTTTTTTTTTAATATTTTTTAATATTTATTTTTTTCTGAGAGCAAGCAAGAGGGGAGAGGCAGAGGGACATAGAGAATCCTAAGCAGGCTCCACACTGTCAGCACAGAGCCCAACGCCAGGCTCACACTCACAAGCCATGAGATCATGACCTGAGCCGGAGTTGGATGCTTGACTGACTGAGCCACCCAGGCGGCCCTGCTGTTTTTTTATATTCTTGATTAATTTTTAAGTCTTTTTCCATTTCTGCTAAATTCATTTAAAAGCTATAAATTTCCCTCTAAACTTCATTAGCTGTATCCCGTGAGTTTTGCTGTTCAGTGATTTTTCATTTCTACATGTTTCCTATTTTCCATCATGATATCTTTGATTTCGAAGTGTATGCTTACATTTTCTGTTTTCTCCTTTCCCTTACTTCTAAGCTATTTACTCGATATTTTATTGCATTGTATTTATAGAATGCAGCCCATAGGCTATTGTTCCTTTGGTCTTTGTTGAATCTTGCTTTGTGGTTTAGGGAGGGGGGTCAATGTTTGCAAAAGCTCTGTGCATCCCTAAAGAGAATGTACGTTCTCTAATTATTGGGTACATATATATGACTACATGTCTGTGTCTCCCTATTTCACAGTTGTCATTTTAAGTGCTGCAGGAGTTGAACTATTCCTGCGCTGTTTCCAAGTTATCGCTGATTTCAAGGTTTTAAATCTAAGTTTGGAGTACTATCCGAGACCTACACCTACCAGCTTTTGCCGTATGATACACTACCCCAAAGTTTAGCATCCTGTGATTCTGCAGGTTGACAATCTGAGCTGGGCCCAGCGGGAAAGTTCTTCCGGCCTTGGTGGGGCCCACGTGCAAGGGCAATCACTTGGCTGATTTTCTGGGAGCTGGCTGTCTAGAGTGGCCTCAGCTGGCTCACCTCTGCCTGTGGGGTCTCCTGAGGCCTAGGTTCAAAACTGGCTCAAAATCACTTCTTCTGCATTCCGTTGGCCCACGCAAGCCACAGGGCCAGCCAGAGTCAAGCTGGAAAAGAGGGTCCTCCTCATGATGCAAAAGAGCACACTTAAGTGTGAGCTGTAGGAAGGAGTGAAGGGTTGTAGCCATCTGTGCAATCGGTCACAAGACCTTTGATGTCCAAGACTTTTTTTTTTTTTTTTTTTTTTTTTTTTTGTGAGAGAGAGAGAGACAGAGTGCAAGTGGAGTAGGGACAGAGAGAGGGGGAGAGAGAGAATCCCAAGTAGGCTTTGTGCTGCTGTCAGCCCACATCCCATGCGGAACCCCGTCTCACATACCCATGAGATAGTGACCAAGATCGAGTTGGACCCCTAACAACTGAGTCACCCAGAAGCCCTGTCCAAGACTTTCTTTTGCCACTTCCACCCACCCACGATTCTCTCCTTTCTTCAGGTATCTGCTGACTGAAACCCCTCCACTCCCCCCACCCAGACAGCCTTCCTAGGCTATTCCCACCTGTCCTCATAGCCCTGCCCAGCCCAGCGGCCACTGCTGAGGCCCCGGGAGGTGATGGAATTGTCTTTCTGTCTGGTTTGGGGCAGAGGCTGCGTCTCCCCTCCCCAGACAGGCATCGTCAGTGCCGTTGGCCCCCAGAAGACTCGGGGGGGGGCCCGTGATGATGGTCTGAGCCACTATGTCTCCTGCAGCTCGTGTGGGCCACCTCGAGCCAACTGGGCTGCGGGCGGCAGCCCTGCTCTGGGGCCCAGGCGGAGATTGAAGCTTTCGTCTGCGCCTATTCTCCCGGGTAAGCGCCCCCCGCTGCGTTGTGGGGTGGAGGGTACGTCCTCCCAGGGTAAAACGCTCACCCACCCACTCACAAGGCCTTTGCCCCTTGGTCTGCACCCTCACAGAAAGAAGGAAAGGGAGAGGGTGTGGAAGTGGGCAGCACTCACGAGCCCGGCCAGGCAGAATGTGGCTTCCCAGATGCCCGTCCTTGGAGGCACTGTTCCGCTGTGCCCGGTTGAAGTATGGAGCATTAGCGTTAGTTTGGAGGCCATTTTTTTCCTTTCCTAAGACCCCTCCCTGTCACCTCCCTGTTCCCTGACTCCCTGGCTGGGCCAGAAGGAGCTGAAGGGGCCGAGGCCCTTCCCCCAGGCCAGGCCCTTGCAGCCCTCTCTGGTGCTTCCTCTCACAGAGGCAACTGGGAGCTAAACGGGAAGACAATCGCCCCCTATCAGAAGGGCTCCTGGTGCTCTCTCTGCACAGCCAGCGTCTCAGGCTGCTTCAAAGCCTGGGACCACGCAGGGGGGCTCTGTGGTAAGTGCTCCGCCCCACCCGCCTCCTGCTGGGACAGTGGTACAAGAGAGCTTGATGTGGTGATCCTCCTGGAGGGTGGCAGCGTCCTGTAGGACTGTCCTCCAAGCCGTGGCCCTTAGCACCCGGGAGGCACCTGGCTGGGCTGCCTGAAGGAGGTTCCCTCTCAGAGCTCCAACCTCGCCTGACCAGAGGTCCCCAGGAACCCATGTCGCATGAGCTGCCGGAACCACGGACGTCTCAACATCAGCACCTGCCACTGCCATTGTCCCCCTGGCTACACAGGCAGATACTGCCAAGGTGAGGGGCACATGGAGCTCCAGATCACCCAGGGAGTGAAGTCTGGGCCCAGGGCACATGCAGGCAGCCTCAGGGGGTGGGGGGACACACGGTGTTGCGTGGGTGTCCAGGGGCCGTGTTGCACTCACTCAAAGTGTTTGGAGAGAGTCTTGAGGGAGTTGGTGGGTGCTGACCAGGTACTTGCTGACCCGGACACTGCATATAGTCATTCAACAAACAGCCTGAGCACCGCCGGCCAGACCCTGAGGTTTGTAGGGGATTCAGAGTAGATTCCGATCTGGCCCTTAGGCCGTGGATGGTAGCAGGAGGACATTATCAGGATCTAGAAATAGACTCTCCTCCCAGTGTCCCCCTCCCAGCTCGGTGACCATGGGCAGGTCCCCCTCCCAAACCCCAATTTGCTTCTCTCTACAATGGAGATCAAACCAAGAGTAGCAGCAGTCGAAGCCGGGACGGGTTCCGTCCCTGAGGGGCGTGCTGGCCGCAGGTGGCCATTCCCCACACTCCGAGGCCTGGGAGAGGCAGCGTGGGGTCCCAGGGCTGCGGGCTGAGCTCTGTTCCTCCCCGCCTGCCCTGGCAGTGCGGTGCAGCGTGGAGTGCGTTCATGGCCGGTTTCGGGACGAGGAGTGTTCCTGCGTCTGTGACGTCGGCTATGGGGGAGCCCAGTGTGCCAGTAAGTCCTGCCCCCAAGGTCCCCCAATGAGCCAGGCCGCACCCCAGGGACCCCCTCAGCAGCAGAGCGTTGGAGCCAGCTCGGACCGGCTCCCAGGAGTCTACTGTGCACATCTCTTCCCAACTCCCTGCTCGGTGACATCACATCGGTACCTTGAAATTGTCCCTGGTGGGGGTATTTGCACCGCACAGATTGGCAAATTCTATACATCTTTTTTTTGTCTTTGAAAGCAAGCCGACTGTTACACGTTCACCAGCACAACACTGACTCCCACCCACTCTCCGGCTAGGAGAGGGTGGCCAGGGGAAGGGGAAGGGGCTTCTTGAGCTTGGCGCCCCGGCAGGGAGCGAGGCGTAATGAGTCTGAGGTCCCCACGCACACAGTCAGGCCCCCCTGTCCCCAGCCAAGGTGCGTTTCCCCTTCCACACTTGTGACCTGAGGATCGACGGAGACTGCTTCATGGTGTCCTCAGAGGCAGACACCTACTACGGAGCCAAGATGAAATGCCAGGTGATGGTTGACCCCTGCCTTCCCAGGGACCCCCAGGGTCTCCAGTAAGGGTCTCAGTGGAGGGAGCTGGGACTGAGAAGTGGCTCCTTTGACTTCTTCTGACCTGACTCTGGTCATTAGTGTAAAGCGGGGTTACTCAGAGGCCCATGGGAGCCAGGAGGTCACCTAATGAGCTCAGGGACCCAGGGGTGGGCCCTTGCCCAACCCCCATCTCAGGAGCCGTCCTGACTCAGTCCTAGCTACTGGCTGTCACGTAGGTGTAGGAGTTCACAGAGGTCAGAACTTGGGATTTTTCAAGAGCACCAGCAATTCAGATTTTCATGGGCATCGCTAGATTTATTAATGTCGGCAACCAATTCAAACGTATTAAAGACACTGAACAGATGAAACAAAACCTTCCCGAGGTCAGGGCCCTGCCAGTCTGGGCCCCTGTGCACAGAGAGAGGAGATGCAGGCAGGGGAGAGGAAGGGGGACGCCTACTCTAAGAAGCAGGAGGCTGTGGGGCGGGGGAGAGGATGTCCCTGGCCACTTCGGGGTGTCGGGATGGGTAGGAAGGGCCGGCCCGAGCTCTGGGGCCCTGCCAGTGTGACGTGGAGTGGGGGTTACAGGGAAAGGGCGGGGTGCTAGCCCAGATTGAGAGCCAGAAAGTTCAGGACATCCTCGCCTTCTACCTGGGCCACCTGGAGACCACCAATGAGGTGACCGACAGCGACTTTGAGACCAGAAACTTCTGGATCGGTGAGTGCCTGGCTGGTTGGGGGTGCAGGAATCTGGGCTGCAAAACCTCCCCCAACAGACAGTAAGTGTGTGATGAGGGCCAAGGACCCGGAACGGGGCTGGCGACCTCCTTCCCTGTGGGGAGCACGGACAAGAGGGAGGGGGAGAGCCCCTGGGGGCCGAAAGAGCTGGGAAGGTGATTAAGGACAGGCATTAGGCAGCAGGCTCCAAGCTCGGGGGTGCTCCTCTCAGGGAGCCTGGGCTCTGAGTGGGGCCCAGGGCTGGTGGGCCAACCTCAGCTGCTGGGGCCCAGGGCTCACCTACAAGACCACTAAGGACTCCTTCCGCTGGACCACCGGGGAGCACCAGTCATTCACCAGTTTCGCCTTTGGGCAGCCTGACAACCAGGGGTGAGTCTGGAGTGCCCTCCCTCCTCCGGGCTCCCTCTCTCACGCGGGACCGCTTGCTGAGCCCTCAGATGCCACTGAATAACCTCCACCCGGCCTGCTGCCTGGGTGAGCCCTGTGAGGGCCTGGGCCTTACCCGGGGCCCAGGAAGTCTGGGTACAGCTGATGTGAGCCACAGCCCAGCATCTCGGGGCTTACATAAAGGAGAGGGACCTCTAGAAGGCTCCATCCATCCATCCATCCATCCATCCATCCATCCATCCCCACTGTTCCCTCAGCTGTCCTCCCAGCCCTCCATTATCTCCACCTGTCCCCCACCACCACGCTCCTCTGCCTACATCAATACCCTGATTCTGGGGTCTTTAGCAATCCACCCACCTGCATCCAGTCCTGCACACGCCCATCCCCCAGCCAGCCTGTACGGAGGGCCTTCTGGTTAGGCGGCCCTGCCCCGGTCATCAGAGCCCAGGAATGCCCAGGGCAAGCGGGGGCAGGGTAGAGGAAGTCAGGCTGTGTGGACTAGGGGCTCCAAAAATCTGGCCCACGTCCTTTGACCTCATTGATGGCAGCCGGGCCCATGCCCCTGCTCTGTCACCTAGAGGACACTGCTCTGGTTGGGCTCTCAGGCACACCCTCTCCCTGCTGGGAGGAAGGACATGGGCCTGACTGTTCCAGGTCCTACCTTCACCCCCACCGGCTGGCATGGCTGAGTGCTGGCACTGGGCAGGGGGAGTTGCTGCCCAGGTAGGGGGTTTGCCGAGACCTCCCAGCTTCCCTGAGAAGAGCTACAGAGGCCTGAGTGGCAGACATGGGAGCCTGGGGGTGGGTCTGGCTCCCAGAAGCCCCTTATGTGGGCTGGAGGCACCTAGGCTTCTTAGACGCAGGTGGCCTGCTGGAGTGGAAGATTTTTTTTTTTAACGTTTATTTATTTATTCTGAGAGAGGAGAGAGCGAGCGCGTGCTCATGAGCAGGACAGGGGAGGGGCAGAGAGAGAGGGAGAGAGAGAGAATCCCAAGCAGGCTCTGCACGGTCAGTGAGGAGCCCGACACGGGGTTCGATCCCACGATCCATGAGACCATGACCTGAGCTGAAACCAAGAATCGGACACTTAACTGAGCCACCCAGGCACCCCTGGAGGAAGATTTAATCCTGCCCCAGGCTCCTAATTTTGTCCGTCCACCCTGAGCACCTGACATCTTGGCCTGGCAGGTTTGGCAACTGCGTGGAGCTGCAGGCATCAGCCGCCTTCAACTGGAATGACCAACGTTGTAAAACCCGGAACCGTTACATCTGCCAGTTTGGTAAGGGCCCTCTCACACCTCCCCTTTCCGGGTCCCTGTCCTCTGAGGTCCCTGCTGGCCCGCTGCAGGCACTAGGATAGCCAGGTCACAGGCCCAGAGAGAGTCTGAGCGTGCAGGACCGCCGGGGATGTCCCGCTCGGGGCGTTGTCGTACCTGCGGGCCCCTGAGGCCCAGAGAGGAAGAAGGGCCCGGTTTAGCTCGTCTGCACAGCAGCAGGACTGGAATACAGCCTGGCCAAGGATCTCTCCAAGGTCCCTTTCCTCCTGTCACTAAAGCTGCTGCTTGGGGACCTGTTGGTTTCACTGGTGTTCCTGATTCCCTAGGGCCCAGTGAACGACAGTGGGGAACAGGGGTGAAACCTGGCCCAGAACCGGCCCCCAGCAACACCTGCTGGAAAGGTCTGGAGCTCCATCTGGGCACGATAGCCATTTCAGGGCCAGCTACAGGAAGGTCCCCATCCGAGGACTGCCTGGGCTGCCACTGACCCTCGCTCGGTTCGGCTTCCTTTCCAGCGGAGGAGCACATTTCCCGGTGGGCCGTGGGACCCTGAGACTCAGCCAGGCCTCTCCCTTGCCAGCCTCCTGAGGCACAGCCCTGTGTGCCCATCTGCACACCTGCCTGGAACAAGGGCCAGGCCAGGGCTGCAAGCCCAACATCCACAGAGATCTCGGACCCTGTGGGAAGTGAGGCAGGGGGCACAAGTCAGACCCAGAGAGGGCTGGGGCCCCTCAGCCTGCTTTCATTGGAAAGATGGGTGTCAGGCACCCCGGGCCGGCAGTCAGAAGAGACCACTCTCCTCCGTGTGTGCCGGACCCTGTGGGGCAGATGGGGATTCCTCACTGCCCAGGGTGCACCCCACAAAGGATTAAACTAAGTTATGAATCACTTGTGCCTGCTTGTTTTGAAGGGGAATCTAGCCGAGTCAGGATGATCCTGGGAATACCAGAGGGTGCCTGAGGCTTTCCTGCTGGTTGCCCACCCCCGACCCCAGTCCCTTCCCTGCTCACCCATATGACCCAGACCGCCCTCTGGAAGTTTTCTGGTGTTAGCCCCTGAATGATGCACAGATTTGGAAGCCTTGTTTGCATCCCTGACTTCCCGTTCCAGCTCCCCCTCACCGCTGCCTCTGTCGGCTTTGCGCTTCTGCCCACACCCTCTCCCTGTATTCACCGTGCCCGCCCCTACATGTTTCCGTTTTCTTTGTGATTATCGGAACTGGGGTGGGTTATGGCCCCGTTGCCCTCCTCTCCCTTCAGTGGTGAGAGTGGCCGTGGGGGCAGGTGAAGACTGGCAGGTGCCATCATGAGCGTCCAGAATGCACCCCTACCCAGTTGCACGCTGTTATGTGTGAACATTGAGTTGCTTTGCTGGTTGGAGGTGGGAGTGTGGCCCGGGGTCATGAACGGAGAGAAGTGTAGCAGCCACAGTTTCTATTGTGGTTGTAAGCAATAGAAACATAGAAACAGTTGTGACTTAATCACGGCAAAAAAGGAACTTATCAAAAAGACAATGATTGGGGTGCCTGGGTGGCTCAGCCGGTTGAGCGTCCAACTTCAGCTCAGCTCATGATCTCACGGCTTGTGGGTTCGAGCCCCATGTGGGTCCCTGTGCTGCCAGCTCAGAGCCTGGAGGCTGCTTCGGATTCTGTGTCTCCCTCTCTGCCCCTCCCCTGCTCACGCTCTCTCTCTCTCTCTCTCTCTCTCTCAAAAATAAATAAACATGAAAAAAAGTTGTGTTTTTTTTTAAAGACAATTATTTACAAACAGGCAAAGGACATGAATAGACAGTTCCCCAGAGGAGCTATACAAGTGACCAACAAACACAACATCACTAGTCATTAGGAAATTCACAGCAAAACCACACTGAGATACCACTTCACACCCATTACGATGGTTGTTATCAAAGAAACAGATGATAACCGGGGTGCCTGGGTGGCTCAGTCGGTTAAGCGTCCGACTTCGGCTTAGGTCATGATCTCACAGTTCGTGAGTTTGAGCCCCACATCTGGCTCTGTGCTGATAGCTTAGAGCCTGGAGCCTGCTTCAAATTCTAGGTCTCCCTCTCTCTCTGCTCCTCCCCCGCTCATGCTTTCTCTCTCTCTCCTTCAAAAATAAATAAAAACATTAAAAAAAGAAACAGATGATAACAAACGTTGATGAGGTCTTGGACCAACTGAAACCCTCATACACTGCTGGCGGGAACATAAAACTCTGGAAACAGTTTGGGGAGTCCTCAAAAAGGTAAGCACAGCTACTACATGCCCCAGCAGCCCCACTGCTAGGTACGTACCCGAGAGAACTGAACACAAGTACTCCAACAAGTCCTTATGCACCAACAAGTCCTTATATGCACAAAGTTCCCAGCAGCATTATTCGCAACAACCCAAACACCCATCAACGGACGAGTGGATAAACAAATCTTGGTGTGTACGTGCCAAAGAATATTATTCAGCCATTAAAAGGAACGAAGTACTGGGGCGCCTGGGTGGCTCAGCCAGTGAAGTGTCTGACTCTTGATTTCGGCTCGGGGCATGATCCCACAGGATTCTTTCTCCCCTCTGCCCCTCCCCGTGCTTGCGTGACACGTTCTCTGTCTCTCTCTCTCTCTCTCTCAAAGAACAAAAAGGAATCAAGTACAGATACGTGCTGAGGTGGATGAACCTTGAAAACATTTTCAGTGAAATAAAGTAGCCACAAAAGGTCACATATCATGGTTCCATTCATACGAAATATTCAGAATAGGTAAATCCACAGAAATAAAACGCATGTTGGTGGTGGCCAGGGGTGGCAGGAGAATGGGGAGTAACTGCTCAATGGGTCTGGGTTTTGTTTTGAACACTTAGAGGTGGTGGTCTCACAAATGCCACCAAACTGGTTACTTTCCTGCTATGTGAATTTCACCTCAATTAACAACAAAAATCCTGATCACAGGATCCCAGGGAGAGTCAGAGAGCCAGCCCGGGGGCTTACGCAGCCAGAAATAGTGCCCCAGATTCGGCTGAAAGTCAGGCCAGGTAGACACCCAGGCCAGTGCTGGCAGGAACTGCGGAGGGTAAACTCTGGCAGCGACGCTGGAGCCACCCGTGTGGCAACCCCACCTCTGCACTGACAACTAATGCTGGCAATCCCGTGCCCTCCTGAGCCCAGACACCAAATTCCCATTCTGCTGCGGCCTCGCCGGTCAGCATTCCCTGCACGAAGGCTTGTGCCCCGGCCGTGTATTTCTCAGCGCTGTGGCAAAGGGGCCATCCAAGAGTTTGCGAGTGGAGGTGGCAGTGGGCAGGTCCTACCTGAAAAGTCCATTCCAAGCTTCTCGTCTGGAGGCGGGGCAGCACAACGCGGAGCTTCTCCAAGTCAGGCTGCAGACCAGCGGCATTGGCGTCAGCCGGGAACCTGGTAGAAAAGCAAATTCTCGGGGCTCCCAGGTGGCTCAGTCGGTGAAGCGCCTGGCTCTTGGTTTTGGCTCAGGTCATGATGTCACGAGTTTGTGCGCTTGAGCCCCGTGTCCGGCCCTGCGCTGGTGGAGCCTGCTTGGGATTCTCTCTCTTTCCCTCTCTGCCCCTCCCCCACTCGTGCTCGTATGCTCTCCCTCTCTCTCTCTTATAAATAAATAAATTTTAAAAAGAAGAGAAAATTCTCAGCCACCTCCACCACCTCCAGCCAACTGAATGGGGAAGGTGAGGCCAGGGCTTGAGTTTTTTTTTTTTTCAACTTTTTTTTTTTTTTTATTTTTGGGACAGAGAGAGACAGAGCATGAACGGGGGAGGGGCAGAGAGAGAGGGAGACACAGAATCGGAAACAGGCTCCAGGCTCCGAGCCATCAGCCCAGAGCCCGACGCGGGGCTCGGACTCACGGACCGCGAGATCGTGACCTGGCCGAAGTCGGACGCTTAACTGACTGCGCCACCCAGGCGCCCCAGGGCTTGGGTTTTAACAAGATCTCTGGCCACTTCAGACGCAGGCTCTGGTGCCAGAACCATGGGGGGGAGGTGGAGAGTTTGAGCCTAAAGTCAGGCCACCTGGATTTCAGGGCAGGCTCTGTCACTTACTGCGTTACTTTGCGCGAGACCCGTCACCCCAGTCTGCCTGGAACGGTCTGGGTGTCAGCACTGCAAGCCCCACGTGCTTGGAAACCCCTCATTCCCAGGCGATCCGGGACACTTGGTCACCCCAAAACATCTCTCTGCCTTCTGTTCTTCTGTAAAGTGAGGATAATAAACTGACTTGGTACATTAAGGTGTTGGCGACAGAGCCTGAGGTCAGCAAACAGGGATGAATGTCAGCTCAGCTGAGCTCGTGCCCCAAACTTTTTCGATTCCTTCATCAACAGTATACCATCGAACCTCGCTTGTTAACTAAGTAAATCTGTGAAACAAGTTGCTTGAAACTGTGCCTGGTCGTTAATCAACTCAGAAAGTCAGGGGCTCATTTTTCTTCTTCTCCCTCAGCTAATGTCATTTGGCCACGATTAAGGCCGGGTTTCAGGCAACCACCAGGGCAAACAATTAGAACCGTCCCAGCTACTCAGACGAGCCCCACTTAGTATCAGTACGTTCGACCCTGTCTCAAGTTGTTTGCTCCCTCCCCCAGCCCTCCACCCTCAGAATCCGTTCCCTGATCACTGTGCCAGGTTTCTGCCGATATAAATTAGCAAAATCTCTGGGTTCTTTTGGTGATTCCATATCCTCCTTCTAGATTTGAAGTCATCGGCCCCCTGGGACCTGCAGGGGTCTGACTTGGTGTCTCAGTCTGGAGAAAGTGAGGGGTGGTGGGGTAGGGCACGCAAGGGGACTCGTTCATGGCAAGGTCATAAGGGGGTGTGTTATTTCGGGAAGTGCCAGCTGCTGGCCACGGTTGCACGTGTGCACTGGTCACGTAGCACGTAGCACACTAACTGCAAGGGAGGCCAGGAAACTCCACCCAGATGTGTACCCAGGGAGGGGTATGGGCTTGGCAAATAGCCAGCAAGTGTGTGCCTCTAGCGTGTTCGGTAGGACCAAGAGGTAGCTTCTGCTGGCAAGGGAGGTTCCCTGGGAGTGGGAGGTACCTAAGCCTTCCACCTTCCCCAAGAGCCCCGTTCTGATGGCCTTGCCCTCCATTCTCCATTCTCTCCCAGCTAGAGGCCTAGCAAGGAAGGGTATGAGGCCACCTGATGGGGTTCTATAGCCACTGATCAAGCTGGAACATTGGTTTATTTTACTCTCTCATCCTTGTAACTGCAAGATATAAAAATTCCTGCTTTTGGGGGCGCCTGGGTGACTCAGCCAGTTAGGCCTCTAACTTTGGCTCAGGTCATGATCTCGCAGTTCGTGGGTTCGAGCCCTGCGTTGGGCTCTCTGCTGTCAGCACAGAACCAGCTTCAGATCCTCTGTGGCCGTCTCTCTCTGTCCCTCCCCTGGTCTCACAAGCATGATCTATCTCTCTCTCTCTCTCTCTCTCTCTCTCTCTCAAAAATAAATATACATTTAAAAAAATGCCCTGGTTTTCTAACCATGACTTGAGCAGAGATTTTGGATTCTGAGATTGTCCTTTCCTTTAAGCTGTGTGGTGCCATTAGCACAGCCCTCTGGCCAACAGCCCTTGACCTCAGGGTAATCTTTATACCCTTCTATGTCAGGAGCCGCCAGATCCCCAAAGCCCTGCCTTTGAGGGCCACTTTGTTCTGGGGGACCGCAGGATTAACTATCTCACCATGGCATCCCATGCACTCCTGGTATCCTGTCCCTTAATACTAGCTGGATTTTCACTGTCCTCTGGCCACATTCCAGCTTTAAAGCACCCCCGTTTCCCCCTGGGCTTTTAGCCCCTTCCACACCTAATCCTATTTTGTGTCAATCAAGGTTCTTGTTTTAAGCAACAGAAACCGATTCTGGCGACTCGAAGCAG